TTTTTTTCCTGTATTTTCTGTTTGCACAGTCACATAATCACTTTAAGATGTTTTCTTGTTCATGTTTTTGTTTGTTGTTTGTTGTTTGTTGCGGTTGCACCCGATTCAAGAGCCGACTGGCTCACAGGGCCATACCAAATAAATGGAACTATGAACTAAATGGAACTCTGTTCTGAGTCTATGCATCTCTGTGTGAGTCTATGGCTGTCTGTGTGAGTCTATGGGTCTCTGTGTGAGTCTATGGTTGAACTCATGTCGACTGAGAGTGGTGCTCACACTCATAATCCTCTAAGAGCGCAAACCATTCACTTGCGTATGCAATTAAAGGATGCAATATCCCAGCGGGTGCAGTAAACTGGGTCCAAAATCAAGTGAAAACGTTGCGCGACTTCACTGTGAATGCGTGGATTGTCTCTGCAACCAGTTGCATTGCAGTTGCACGCACAGCTAAGAGGCAGGATCCTGCTTTTCCAGCGATCTCGGCAAAATTTAGAAAACGTATTTCGTCACGTGACACATTTGCCAGCTACTGATTGGTTTGTTACAATCTTGAAGTAGGGGGGCATGGAGCCAACCAGATGAAGGGGGCGGGGCTCCGCTGTAAAGGGGCGTAGCCAGACACGCCCTCGTTGAGCAAACGACAAGAGACTCGTCTGCTTACGAACATTCGACTTAGGAATTTTCAGAGATACGAATAAACCCGTCCTGATGTCCAGTTGCCTGTTCGAACCGAGAGTCGTAAGTTCAACCGCCGTGCAATAGATGGCGGTGGTGGCATCTACATCTGCAGAGCATGAAGAACCAGTGGCAACTACATCTGCAGCACGTGAAGAACCAGTGGCATCTACATCTGCAGAACGTGATGAACCAGTGGCATCTACATCTGCAGAACGTGATGAACCAGTGGCATCTACGTCTACAGAACATGAAGAACCGGTGGCATCTACATCTGCAGAACGTGAATAACCATTGACATCTGAATCTACAGGAGATTATACAACTTTTAAAGCCATTCGGGTGTTTAGTGTACACGCCGCACAAGACTTTTGGCATCGACAGTAGTAAAGTTGGACTCACGAACAAAATCGACTTACGAACAAATCTCTGGAATCTAACTCGTTGGTAAGTAGAGGAGTCCCTGGTACTTGGCTCAGATGCGGGATAAAAGCAGGAGATTAAGTTGCACGGCTCCTTCGACAGCGACTTTGGTTGCGCAACTGATTGCTCAGATTACGATCTGGCTTAGGAAAGGAAACCCTTGGAAGGAAATCACGTGAGGATCTGCAGTGTCATGGCTGCAGAGCTACAGGTGTGTAGCTCTTCTGATGTTTGAAATATCTATTGTGGACAAATATATCACCCTGCTCTGAGATGTCAAAGGCACGTCATTGATATAATTGTTAATTGAAAAATATCTATACAATAAATAAAACTGTACTGCGCACAACAAATGAATGTGTTCCCTCTAAAGCCTTAAGGACCATCATCATAACGATCCATGGGTCCATAGGTGTCCACGGCATATTTCAGAATTCGTTTCCACTCTCCGATGTCTTGTGCCAACATGCTCAAGTAGTGCCACATCTTTCTGGCACCAATCTCTTTCGTAGTCCCACATAGTGCGTTCTCACATTCCATGTCACCGACTGCGATCTCCTCATTCGCAATTCCCGGCCTCTTTGTTGTTTAAAAATGTGGCTGCTTCGTTTCTTGATGGTGTCGTCGCTGCTGCAGCTGCTGCTGCTGCTGCTTAGGGCCAAGAGGGGGAAATTATTAAACCAACATTAAGTTGAGCTGAACAGGCAACCGTGGGAGACTCGAGTTCCCCGCGTAATGTTCACGCGCGGCGTTTCGTCCCATTTCGTTCACGTCGCTGCCACCCGTTCCACAGAACAAAACTCAACACACCGCCTTGCTGATAGTAGTCGAGCGGCAACGTGATGCTCACGAGCGACAGCCCCTGGTTAGTCCATGTCGCCAGGCCAAATGCTCGGCACCAATTGCGGCGTCGAATATTTCAAGACGACAGATTTTTACGTTGTCCGCTGGCCGAGTAGCCCTTTGAACAAGAGCTTCTTGTTGCCGCAAAGGGCTTCACTGGCGGAAATACATTTCCGATTCGGATTCTGTACACGGCCAACGCAATTTGATTATGTGGTAACATAGTCTATTGGCGATATACAAATGATGGTACAACTCAAGTTTTGCCATCTCTGGTGGTATCAATAAGTAAACTAAACTAAAACTATGATTATTACACGCTTTTATTTAACTCACTCTGCCTGTTGTATCCTCAACTCTGTTTGTTGTATCCTCAAATCTTGTAACTCAATTTTAACCCACTTCCCAATGTCGTATCGACTGCAAACTTGGTATGCGTATGTCATACTGATGACAATACTATATTCTATCTTTTTTATATGTTATGTTTCGGCTTGGGTCTAATTATCCACGCTCAACTCACGCTGGCTGTAAATCACCAGCCCCTTACGTTATGGCAAGCTTCGGGGCCACTTCCTGGAGTTGTGGAGTTCTGACATTACTAGTACGGTACATTTCATTAAAGTGTGTTTAAAAAAAAGTATTTTTAAATATTACTTATTATGTTACCAGGTAAGGTCCACTGAGCTATATAGATCTTTTTCAGAAGTAACCTGGCCACAAATGATAGTTCAACGAAGTGAATTACTACAGTGGTAATTTACAAACAAGGTTGTTTACAAATGTGGAGGGAAAAACCGGAGGACCCGGAGAAAAATCCACACGACCACGGGGAGAGAGAGAGACACGCAAACTCCAAATATACAGCAGCAGGCCTCAGGGTCAGGATCTAAGCCACGCCCTCCTGCATACCTGGCGAGGGAGTTAACATCTCGCCGTGTGGTCTGGATGTATTTGGTCCTGATTTACCGGGGTGAACGGATTTATACTGCTTGGTTAGCAGGTCGGAGATTCAAGAAACTTGCACCATTGCTTCAAGTGACGCACCGGGAGATTGAAACGGCCGACAATCTGGCTTGCGCCTGACATCCCACCGTTGGTGCAATTGCCTTCCCACGTCGGGTTGCTTACGATGTGATTCACGTTGAGTCGCCTATTGTGCATCAAACAATTAACAACAATTAACGATCATTACACTTGGTTCTAAATAGCACACGTAATTTCCCCGTGGGAGTCGGGATATTCCTGTGAACGGAGAAGTAAAAACTCAGCGGGAGCATTGGATTTTAATTAAAAACAAACTCACGTGCTTTGACTACACAAGATGCTTTTGCAATTTTCTTTTGCCTTTTTGTTTAATATGTCGTAGAACAAAGGTTAGTTAAAAAATATATAATACCATCGGCAATTATTATGGAAGGCTCACACACTGATATACACATATCTATTTTAGAATATTTTCAGTAGCTTAACTTTTTTTTTCCTTTTTTAATTTCACAAACGGAGCAGAAAAAAATATACTTTCAGTATTCCCAAAACACAGCTGTTACAATGTCAGAACTTTAATTTGTTTCCTCATGAGTGATGCTCAACAATTGAGGTTGTACAGTGGTATTACTTGACCAGACCACATCTTTGCTGAAGAGGATCAATGTCCATGAAACCTGGTCCAAAGCCGTTAACACTGAATAAATGAACAGGAACTGCCGTCAGCTGATTATACAGGGTGGCCCAAAAGTCAGGACACATACGGGGTAATCATATTTATTTTCATGCTGGCATTAAATCATTTAAGCTGTTTGTTCTTTAAGTTCATATTTCATCTGCGACTATTGCTCATATTTACGCATCTTCATCCTTTTCTGATGACATTTTAAAATGAAAAAGAACATTTGACTGAATTGAGACGAAAACTTATTGACGATATAACAATTAATGTTCAAATCTTACAGGTGTATTCTGGGAAAAGGTCCCGAATTAGTTTCAGTAGAGAATGCCGGCATGCACCAATGTTCATGGAAGTCAGTTTAAACATTTGTTAAGATAAATTAAATACCCCGATGTGCATTGTTAAAATAAATATAAGCACCCTATGCATCCTAACTTTTGGGCTAGCCTGTATATAAAATTATTTCCCCCACATCACAGTCATTTAAACAAACCTCCGTTTTCTACCTTCAATGTTTATTTACAAAACGTCAAGTTTGGATGTTTTTATTACTCCAGCAATCCTCGTTTGTTCGTTTACTTAAAGTCTCATTCATTCCTTTTGAACAGAGACTAATACAAACATCCGCAATGCACTTCAACCTACTAGCTTGCCGAATGAATAATAAAAACTGAAAGGTATCTACCGAACACTGCCGAAGTAGTTGGTAGCAAAATGGAACTTTGCCCCCAACCGATACGATCTTCTGGTGTGAGTCCACGCTTGAAAGGCGCAACAGCTCTTGCTATGCACGTGCGCTGATCTTCTCGTGCGCCGCCGTACGTGGCCAATCGATCGCGACAATCGGAGGTGCGGGGAAAGGACAACAAACTGAACACACGCGGGAAAAAAAAGTCACCGCCTACCAGCAGCATTCCGTCTCGAGTCGACCAAATCTGTCCAAGTTTTTCGGTCCTCTTTCTGAGGCAGCTGCTCTCCTGGGAAATCTGGAAGTCTCCCGGGGACATCAAGAATAGTTTTTAGTGTCAGTCGCGCAATAATAATGGTAATACTACACCACTCGAGGCAATGCGTTCACAAGTAGCCCTCTGTGTTCCTGTGGCATTTGCGAGACGGTATACTTCCAACGTTACGACGCGGTTTTGTTGTCGTCGTCGTCGTCATCGTCAGCATCATCATCTGGGATCCGTCGAGGTCGAGTACGATGATCATCCATGGACCACGATGATGGTCGGGGTTCGTGGCTACTCAGGTGGCTCATGAGGCCAATCCGGGAACCTCCGGGGTGGCGGGTGACACTCTGTCTGAACTTTCCCCCTGGAGTGAGCGAGAGAGGCCTCTGCTCCTGGGAAACCGCGGCCGCCTCGCGAAGTCAGAACACGCGGCGCGCTCACACGGTGCTCTCCATGACCCACTCCGAGCTCAGGCACAGCGATCGGCGCGCCGCCATCTTCGCCCCGTCGGCGTTGCGCGGCAGCGTGCCCCCGCCCGTCAGGTCGCCGGGGTCGCTCTTGCGCTTCCTGCTGCGCGCCTCGAACGACTGGCTCCGCTTGGCGCGTCCGCGCGGGAACTCCCCCGCCGCCGGCAGCGCCGCGACGGCGCCGGCCGGCGGCGCCGCCGCCGCCGCCGCCGACTGCAGGCCGAGCAGCCGCGCCAGACGCTGCCCGGCGTGAGACGACGCCGACAGCGTCGACGAAGCGGCCGCGCCGGCGGAGTAGGACGCCGCGCCCAGCAGCGGCGCCCGCTCCGAGCCCGGCACGAGGCTCGACTGGCGCGAGTCGGCGGTGCTGCAGTCGCCGTCATCGCTCGCCGACACCAAGCGCGCGCCGCCGAGGGGCGCCGGCGACGCCGGCGACGCCGGGGAGAAGAAGGCGTTGGCGAGCAGGCGGTCGATCTCGGAGCGAACGCCGCAGTCGCAGGTCGCGCCGGCCGTCGCGATCGAGCCGGAGCGCGACGCAGCCGTCGCCGTCTTGTTCCCGGCCTGCCCCGCGCTGCTCAGCGAGACGCTGTCGGGCGTCACCGACGACCTCCCGTCGCTCGACCCCAGTGAGCCGCGGCTGCTCACGCTCGACGCGTAGCACGCGTGGGTGCCGCCGAAAAAGTCGGCGGACTCGTACGCCGGCGCCTCGTCCGCGCGCCGGCGGTCGTGCCGGAGCGGCCGGCGATCGTAGGAGGCGGTCGGCGATGCTGGTGCGGCGCCGCCGCCCCCGCCCCCGTCGGGGAACTGCGCCATCCCGCCGTTGCTCTTGGCCACGTCGCGCGAGCGGCCGCTGCCGCTTCCGCTGCCGCAGCAGCGGCAGCGGCAGCTGTCCGCCGCTTCCAGCGCGGCCGGGCACCACCGCCCGCAGCCGTCGGCGCGCGCCGCCCGGCCCAGCGCGCCGCGGTTGCGCGCCACGTAGACGCCGATGAACGCGAGCAGCGAGGCGACGATGAGCGCCGCGATGACGAGCACGACGGTGCCGCCCGCGTGCGCCCCCGTTAGCGCCCCCGAGCAGTCGGCGTCGTCGGCGCCGGAGCGGACGGGCGCCGGCGTGGAGAAGCGCACGCAGCCCAGGGCCCGCGTGGAGGCCGAGGGCGCGCCGGCCCGGGCGCACAGCGCCAGCACGCACAGGTCGTAGTCCGAGCCGCCCACCAGCTGCGACACGCGGAAGCGCTTGCTCGTGGCCGGGATCATCCTTGAGGGAGGGAGTGAGGGAGGGACCCAAAGAGGGCTTCAGTAAACTTTGGCATGAACAATGCGAAACTGGTGATCATCATCATCATCATCACGATCCATGGGCATTTGTTTTCACTTTCCTCTGTCTTGTGCCAATATTCTCAAGCAGTGGCCACATCTTGCTGGCACCAATCTCTTGTGACGTCGCCGTCAAGCCGTTCTCTGTGAGCTCTCCCTCTCGTTCCGGTTCCTTCCATTTTTCCGAACAACAACAACAACACTTTTCATTTACTGGCGATCTATGGGGGCCACAAAATATGCGATTGAGGGAAATGGCTTATCCAGACACTGTCGCGTCTTCCGAGGACCTGGTTTCTGCCCGTATTTGGCTGGAATGTCACGATGCTAAGTTGAAGGTGGGGGACGGGTGCGTGGGGAGGTGGGTTCCATTAATTTTTGACGCGTTGGGCTACAGAGGGTGACCTCCGTGTGTGATGTGACTGACGGAGGGCATTTAGAAATGGGGGTTTTTGAGCGTGGGTTTCTTGTTGTTGTTGTTGTGTCTGTGAACACAGCGGTAACACAATGGTACACATGTTACACTGGGAAAAGGTGTAAATGTTACATTTCTTGTAAAACACCAAAAAAAACCCCGACATGATGAACAAAAATAATGAGGGAAAGGAGATGACAGAGACGAGGGCGCAACGCTGTCGGCGCCATGCGGTTTGCTCCGATGTTCTCGCGCTCGCGGCTCCGCTCTTCGCGAAGGTGATTTCGCAGCGAAGGTTGAAATTGTTTCCGCGTTACGTACGTACGCCGATCGTCTTTCGCACCGTACGCAGCCAGCCATGCTAATCGGAGGCGCGGTGCCTCCTGTTCGCCCGTTCGTAACGGAGTCGGGGCGGGGGTGGAAGAGCACGGGAGCTCGCGTACAGACGATCCGATATGAACCGAACTCTCCCGCAAAGTTGTGTTGTTGCCGTTCGGGATTTGTCCTTTAGCACACGGGGTTGGGCGAGCAAATGTCGTCAAAGGGATATTGCCCAAAACTGAAGCGAACTATTTCTGTTTTTGCCTCGACAGCAACCCCGATGGCTTCCGTGTTGGCAGTTAAATCCGTCTGGGAAATGCTCGGGGAAGTGTAATGGAATCGTACGTATGTTGAACTTTTTTCCCACCCTACGTGCTAATTGGAGGTGCTGGGGTAAGGACTATAAACTAAACACACGCAAAAAAATGCATGCATGTGGCACGATTTTTCGCACTTGTATACTTAGAATGTTCATCAACATCATGGGACCTCCTTTGCCTGTACCAAAATATGAGAATACGTTTTTCCCCTTTAATCTGGCAACAAAACAGGTGTTAAGTTGTTAAAACACCAAACTGATACATTGGTTAGCATACTGCCGGTATAAACCAGAGTTCGATTCCCAGCCACGGCGAACACGAGTGGCGATTGATATCAAGGACCAGTCCTGAGCGCCCCCGCTCACCAACCAGCACTGACCAGCACGGTGAGGTATGGTCAAACAACCTCCGTGACTCACACGGCGTGCAGAAGGATTCTTCCAGCAGTGGATTGACGAGCGGATAAAAGTTACTCCCAGAAACACTAAATTCACCCTACTCGTTGTTCCTTGAAGCGGCCATCGCATTCATCCTTCGTCCAAGTCTACCCAGCGAGCGCACCGCGTCCGGGAGGGTGCCCGCCGGGGAGATGGAGCGATGAGATCGGTTTATGTGCTTCAGGTGGCGGGCGGATCGTTGCGTCGCAGGATGGCGGGCGGTATCGTCCGGCACAGGTTTTTTACAAGGTGGGCTTGTCACACCGTAAGTCATACGCTGCGCGCGCTTAATCTCATTTCACTTTAACCCTCGGACGTGGGGGAAGTGTAACGTTGTCAATGATAAATGGAGTCATAAGCGTGGAGGTAACCGCACAAAGTGGTTACAACCGCAACACACTTTGAATCCACGCAAGCTGCCAGTGTGCGTATTTGTACACGTGTGTATTTGTGCGGTTTGTTCATTTAAATGTGTGGGTATAGGGATATTTCGTATATATGCGAATTCGAATTTCGTGCATTTTTTATGAAAAAAAAATCACACGGCACTTTCGAAAATGTTCAAATTCACCGAAACGATAAATCTGCTTCAACCCAAACCATGAGTCCATGTGAAGATGGCTGAAACGCCTGTCACATGACACGGGTCATGATAATGTTGTCCCGTAAAACTGACCTCTCACATTTTGTGTAAGAGTGCTTTTTAGTCCGTGGAAGGTATAACAATATAAAACGTGAACCTATAAAAAATCGGGTGGGATGAATTATGGGATCGGTAAGCATTACATTTTATTCATTGATGTATACAACTACATTTTAAAAAATCTGGTGGGATGAATTATGGGATCGGTAAGCATTACATTTTATACATTGATGTATACAACTACAGTTAAGCCGGTGTTGCTGTGTAGCTCAATGGTAAAGTATTGAGCTCAATTTGGAAAGTTGCCAGTTCCAATCCTGGGCCAGGGGTTTGACTCAGCCCATCATGCATCTGGGGTCAATAAAATGCGTACCACTTTGTAGAAACATCCACAGTGGTTGTCACATGGAATAAAACATATCATAAGAATGTGTAATATAAGTGTTTTTTCCTAAATGCTTATGCCTCAAAAGTACATAAAATGGCTATTATTCCCCACAAACTTTGCTTTTGTGACCAGGACAGTGATATTTTAAAATGTACCTATTTTCAATGAGAAAACGTGGTGTGCATTTGTGTCATTCCTTCACGTAAAGTCCTGGTCACAAATGCAAAGTTTGCGGGGAATAATAATAGCCATTTTCTATACCTTTTAGGCATAAGCAATTAGAAAATAACACTTACTACCCAGGAACAAGAATCGTGTTACATAGTGTAATTCGAAATCTCTACGGGACATCGCATGGCCATTAATAACGGATATTGTTATTCATTCCATCGTTGATATTTTCGAGCTTTCTGGAAAACGGGAGCGTCGGCCTTAGACGGTGCAATGGCAGCATTCATAATTGAACACTTTTCGGTATTCGCGCCATTGTCGTCGCAAACAAGGCTACCGCGAAGCTGCAGTGCTTCGTCGACGAGTAGAGTCTGCCAGGAGTAGGGATCGATGTTGATCAATATGGATGCGCGGCTTCACGCAATTATGCCACGGCACCAACACAGAATAAGCGCGAGCGCGCGCGCGAGCGAGCGTCGCCGCGGGGGAATACAAGCGACAATAAAGGGGCCGTAGGCGGCCCAGCGTATCTGCCTCGTACATCTCTACACGCACCTCGCTCGGCCGTCGACGTTCGAAGCGGACGATCGCGACCCTCAAAGGAATAGCGTCACCCCCGCATGGGCGCCAGCACCCGCCCCCCCCCCCCCCCCCCCCCCGCCGTATCAAACAAATCACTCGAGACGCCGGTGTACGGCAGCCAAGAGCAGTTCACGCGAACGCTGTCGCGAGAGGTCACACGCGTGCGTTTGGCGTGGGGGATCCTTCCGCTGCGTGAAGAGCAAATGAATGAATACATCTCTGCCCTAACCCTAATTTAGTTTTTTTTATTATACCCCCTCCCATCACCGGATATTTGACGTGCCACCGTGTGCATTTAGGACGCATGGACCCGCACTGTTAACCAGGGCGACTGCTGGGCTCGCACGGCAGAAACCTCTGCGGCACACCGAGTAATCAAAAGACTCTCCTCCGTTGCCACGCACACTCTTTGCTGCTGCCCGCGGCAGGCGTTTCCATTCCCGGGGGGGGAAACCTCCCGACGTGTTCGTCAATGGACACTTCGTTGAAAGGGGGCAAATGTAAATATATCATTAATAGGCGACGTCTCGGTCAACTGCTCTTCTTCTTCCTGGTATTTCCGCGCCCGAGCTGTGCTGGCACGCGGACGAGCGGCGAAGCGTGCGACTCGATCGCCCTTCGGCAACGATCCGTCCCGCTCGTCACCGCAGCACGCCACGAAACGGTCAATTCACGGCATCGCAACGTGCAAGCAACTCGCCGACGTTCAGGCGAAGGTACGCAGGGGGCGGTGCAGTGGTCTCGGCGCACCACACTCGCAGTCCACAGGGCGCCGGGGGTCCAGTTCTATCTCCCGGCACGGCAAGTCGAAAGAATGGTGCAGCGCGTTTCTTAAATCCACCTCCGCACCTGCCCCCCCTCCCCCCCCCTCCTCTTCCCACTGCCTGTGCCCACCCAGCAGTCAAAACGGGGTGATACCACAGTACGTTGATCGCGTGCTTTGGGGGTAAAGTGTGGGTACCAAGGCCGTAATTATAATATTGGGACACACACACACACACACCCCCTCCAATATTCAAATATGCTCAAAATGTCCCCCCAATATGATGCTATAAAATAGATTTATGTTAATATGATTGTGGTTATGGTTGTACTTTATTAATCGCTAATCTCTGCCATTACATACAATAAAACAAGAAAATGTAAAAAAGAAAAAAACAGAGCAATGTAATACAATACACTATTAGACATTATTGTAAAAAATAAATAAAACGTCCATCCTATGTTTTAGTTATTTTTTTATATTTTTGGCAGGAAATTTGTTTTAAAATTTAGATTATTTTCTGGGGGGGGGGGGGGACCCCCAGACCCCTTGGAAGATTTGGTCCCCCCCAATGTTGACTCCATGGCTACGGCCTTGATGGGTGCTGCCACCTCCTCCAAAGACCTCTGGCCATGCAATGGACGAGTAGGCCACTCAACCCGCGACATCGGCTCTCCAGAGCTCCCTCTAGCGGGGAGGCCCTTCCGCCTCGCAGCGATGCGAGCGAGCGAGCAGTTGCAGGGACGCGCCTTTGTCTTCTCCTCGGACAGCGTGCACGGCGGTCGAGAAAATGGTGGATTTAGGAGCGGAGTGGATTTAGGTTTTTCAAGACGCTCGCCACAGCCATTAAGCACGAGAGTTTCAGTGTCCACGGACGCGTCGTCAGTCGACAAAATGCCTC